GAAGTGCGTGAAGCTTTGCAGACCTCTAATATATATTATGTGTCATTTTTGGAAAAAAAATGGGAATTCGATTTCTCAATTTTAAAACATTTACTGCAGGCGATTTTAATTTGAAAAATCGAATGCAACCTGAAATTTATTCCAGAATGTATCGATTAGAGCCCTGCATGTATAAATAACGGGCCAGGTGAACTCTGACATGAATTTTAAAAAAATATTTTGAACCAGACCAAATAATTTTAATTCATTTTTTTAAATATTATTTTAGACGCCGTCTGGGGATTATGACAAAAGATTTTGATTTTTTGTGGGGAATTATTATGATAAAAATTTTAAAAAATTATTTCAAATGATTTTCCGATTTGATAGAATGGCGTATTAATTAAAAAATTTCATAGCATTGATATTTAATTTTTTAATATTTCAGAAAATATATTTATTCAGTTATGAACATTCTTATATAATTGAAGGATAAATAAAAACGAACTAAATGGTAAAATAATAATAAAATGCATCATTTATTTTTATAAGTATGTTTGAAAACAAAATAAATATTTATAATAACAATTTACATACGTCATAATAAGCGCAATCGCCCTTTATCGCTATATGAAACAGCAGAGCTATTCTTGGACTATCTCATCCCAACTTATTGGGTTAAGAAATTTGGGGGTAACCTATGTAATGAGTCTATCAACAAATTTTTGGGCAGGCTGCAGTTACCTGTGCGCGCAAGAGGCAAAACCACTTGCTTAAACGCCTATGGGAAACAAGAAGAGAGAGAAAAACCCAAGATTAATTCAAATGCCAGCTTATGGCGTATTTCAAAAAATTTCCTGATCGAGACTACTCTCGAAAAAAAACGCATTCAACTCTTTGGTCATACTATAAGAAATTTCAGACAAAATATAGTTCATGAGGCCATAATCTGGCTCCAGTCTTATGAAGGGAAAACCTATGGTAAATACAAGTCATATTGGCTGTACAAAACGATAAAAGAGTCATAAGTCTAAATCTGACGATGGACCAATTCATACGCCTAAACAATGAAGGTTCTATAAAAAAGCTACAAAAATCAAATCCAACTATCTAAACCCTCCAAACCTCTCCGCTTCTCCATAAGCATAAACACCACCTTCCCCCCCCCGCCATGGTAAACATACATCAAAACATACTTAACTTATGCTATCATCCCTCTAAGCTAGTATTTTTAAGTAAATAGCAGTTTTTTTTAACACAATAAATCAATATTTATAATAAATAAACAAATTCTATACAGATCATAAACCTAAAATCAACCAATACCCCTCCCTAATACATTTTACTTAATCGGGTACGGGTTTTCTCTCTCTTCTTGTTTTCCGTAAGCGTTTAGGCAAGTGGTTTTGCCTCTTGCGCGCACAGGTAACTGCAGCCCCCAAAAATTTGTGGATGGACTCATCTCATAGGCTACCCCCAAATTTCTAAACTCAATTAGATGGGATGAGATAGTCCAAGAGTAGCTCTGCTGTTTGATATAGCGATAAAAGGCGATTGCGCTTATTATGACGTATGACGTATATTACTGTTGAAAACCGATTGAAAATATGCAAAAAGTGTGACAACATAATTAGTCAGCAAGATGAATTTTATGAACTGGCCGAAGGTATGCTTAGAACGATTATCTTTCTCTATAAATTTTTTAAGGGTTTAAGGAGAATTACCTGCCAAATTCTAATCTTTTAAAATCAAATCTTATTAGCACATATGAAAAAGATTTTATTCGCAGTAAAAATGAAGATGAATTTTATAAACTTGCCAAAGGAATGCTTTGAACGATTATCTTTCTCTATAAATTTTTTAAATTGGGTTTAAGGAGAATTACCTGCCAAATTCTAATCTTTTAAAATCAAATCTTATTAACACATATGAAAAAGATTTTATTCGCATTAAAAATGAATTAAAATTAAATGAATATAGACTAGATGCAAAAAAGATTGTAATGATTTAACAAATAAATGATTTATAAATATTTTTATTTTTAAGCCCAAAATAATAGTATATTTTAAATGATTTATATATATGATCAGGGTTGCCATGTCTCCCCCGTCGGCGGGAGACTCCCGCAATTTTTTAATTTACACGCAGACATCTCACTCCCGCAAAACAATTGCAATATTCCCGCAAAATTCTACCGAAATTTTTTAATTTCTCCTGCACAATTTTTTTTAGTATTTTAACGTTTTTAATATATAAATAATAATTCTGAGAGATATAATTAATTGATTATTTTTATATTTCTAAAATAAATTTTAAATATTAAATCGAAAAACATGTTTAGTATGTAAATTTCTTTCTATCCTGTTTTATTTTTATCCAATAATAAATCAACATCATTATTCATCATCACATTATCATTTCATTCTTATTTTATCATTTTCAGTGTGTTTGTGTATAACATTATAGGGCTTGGCGCTTAATTATCACGTTCAGGTTTAATTAAATATATAAGAAAATAATATTATTCTGATAATTATTTTATTTATTATAATTCAATCACATGATTATAATATAACCAGTTATTTAAATCAGCGGTGAATATTTTAGTTATGAGGAAACAATCTCTAATTAATTCCTATTTCAAGTTCAATAGGGCATTTCAATAAAACTGTTAAAATTCTTTTCCACGAACAGTGAAAAATCCAGCGATATAGCTAACCACATAATGGTTAATATAGCTGATTAAGGGTTATCAATGAGTTGCATGTCAGCTTTCTGTGCTGATAAGGTCTCTATTAATTTTGGCAAAAGCCAAAGTGTATTTACCGAATTGATGCAGTACAATAATGATTTAAATACCAATTGGCTGTGGATGTCGAAATAATTGTGATGAAATGTTTTAACGAATTTAGTTCATCAACTAAGAGTTAATGAGTTAAAAAAGTTGGTGGAGTGGTCTAGAATGGTGTGAGTTGTTGCGCCTTATCCCTATCAGGTGGTTATCATTAATACCTGTCATAGTTAGAATTTCAAAATTTTACGATCCATTAAAAAAATACTTCTTAAATAAAGATTACAAAAGCTGTCCTAAAATATTGAAAAATTTTTTCGATGATGAAATGGCAGAAGATTTAGGAATGGTTTTACATGTAGGAAATCTACTACATGCTGTTAATATTCAGTTGCAATCAGAAGAATCTTTATTAATAAAGATTGGCAAAATTATGCTGAAGCTGTGTTAATCTTTGCAGTTAAAAATTGATAATATATTTTATGACGCTATTGCTAAATTATATTAAAATGTTCAAATAATACTCTAATTAATGTATTTTTAAATGAAACAAATATTTTTATTAAGTCAATTTTAGAATATTTTAATAACTCAATTTACAAATGTATAAATATTATGACCTTGGAACAGAAACCATCTATTGATGGTTTTTGTAATTTAATAAATATATTAAAAAAACCGATAGACATTGATGTCTTGTTTGAGGAGATTGTAATTCTCTCTATTTTTTATGATTCGTCATACTTAAAGGTAGATGGTGTAAAAGCAGAGGAGAATGGGTGGAATTTTTTCGTAATAACGATAAAACCTCTTGCTTGGAAAAAATATACGAATATGTTTTCTCCTTACCTCATTCTAATGCCTCATTGGAGAGCATTTTTAGCCTGATGGGGACTGCCTGGAGAAAGGAGCGAAATCGGATTCCTCTAACAAAATATAAGGCCGAGCTAATGGTTAAACAAAATTAAAATATGTCATGCCAGGAATTTTATAAATATCTGACGACGATAAGCGTTTAGTTTCATTATTTAAATCTCAAATAAAATATAATTAACATTATAACTATCCATATTTTTTATATTTTATAATCCCTTATTATAGTCGCATAAAATAAATATATATTTTACATTGTAAAATTAAAATCGTTTATTTTTTTTTTATAAAATTAATATATTTTAATAAATCAAGATGTTATTTTAAAAATAAAGATAGCAATTAAAAAAATTTTGTCTCGTACTATAGTTACCTATTTTATTTTTTAAAAATAGTTACCGACTTTGTATTTAATAAAGTAATTATAAAAAATAATAGGCAGATAACTAAGTCAATTTTAAATCCCGGCACTTCGGGCCTTTGGCCCGCAAGAAATTTTTTTTAGCAATTTTTATATTTCTACCGCAATTTTCATATTTCTCCCGCAAAATACCAAAGTTCTCCCGTAATTTGAAAATTTTTACCTGGCAACCCTGTATATGATATATAAAAAAAAGGTAGATTGAAAAATTATCGGAAATGTTAAGAGGAAGATAATTCACCTAAAGAAAAATAACCTCAATTTTTTTCTTAAGGAGGAAGTGGGGAAGGTTTTTTGTAAATTTTAAAAATTATTAGAAGAATCTTCTGTGTTTTGTAGGCAATATCAAATCGGCCTCCTAAACGTGGTATCAGCACCTCTAAATATAATCATTTCTTTAAAATTCACTTATCAATTTTTTTCTCTAAAATTTACTTTATTTCTATGATTAACTCAAAAAATTTCGGGTTGGATTCGGCGGACAAAAAAATAGATTTTGTCTGGGTCAGACTAGACCGCAAATCACAAGATGATACTGAGCTCTAGTTTTGAGAACCCATTTAGACAATTTTGATATCAACTTGTAAACTAATCGTAATTTATATAATTTTTTTGTATGCATTTTAAAAAATACACAAGCATATGGCGTCATTATATGAAATTCATAGAGTAGGTAATCTACGCATACTGTAATACATTTCTGGTCAAAAATTGCCTTGAGTAAATAAATTCAAATTATTATTTCCGAATCCCGACAAAACTTGGTATTTGTTATTTTAAATGAATTTTATAAATCCTTATTTTTATATATTCCAAACCCTAACCTAGTTCAGGGATTTTCACTAAACTCTAACCCCCCTCTTTCTAACAAGAGTCATATCCCTGAATATTTTTTTATATTATATAGCAATCGAATTGAAAAAAACATGAATATACTGATGAATCTTGAGTTATCAAAAGGATCAAATGCAAAATGTTGAACATTCTCAGCAAAATCGATTTTCCATAACTCGGTTCCATTAAAAGCATGATAAATTACCAAATGAGATTTTGACTTAGTATTATTTTGAGAATACAACGCCATCAAATTTTCGGAATTGACTTTGAAAGACCTTAATATCCATTGTATATCTATTGTATTGATATAATAAAGGTATTATAAATCATTTCGTTGAAAATATTTAATGTATAATATTATTATGTATATATGTCGTATAGGGATATACGGAAACTCTCATGATTATGAATCCCAATCTTTAGTAGATAGTTCATACGTTAGTCATTATAATAAACAAATTGATAAGTAATAACTTTATAGACCAAATATTTTATTTAGAAAATGGTTCATAAATTATTATTTAACGATCAGACTTTTTCCTTTTTTGGATGATAAAATTGGGTTACCCATAAAATTGAACATATTTTTAAGGTTTCATAGCATAAAGGCTGAAAAGAACATTATAATCTTATAGATGCGAAAATCTATCACTGTTAATCCAGGAGGATCCCACAATAGTACCATGCTTCATTATAGTAACCTTCATTGTCAAAGCTGCCTTTTTTCCATTGGGAAAACAACCCTATTCTTGGCACCTCGTATTTTTATGAATAATTAAATATTTTTAAAAATAAGAGCCCATTAATTTTTTTTTCAGAAAGAGGTTGGAATAAAATTTGCAAGTAAAAATAAATGATTCAATGCAGCGAAACTTTTATCAAATGTTTATTATAGCGAAACCTTTATCCCGAATACTATTCCGCTAAAACTATATAGCAAATTTTTAATAATCAAACCTATACCGTAGAATTTTTTGAGCGAATACATAAAAACGAAACTTTTATCGCAAAAAAAACAATAGTGCGAAAGCAATACTGCGATAATTTCTAATGATGCTTTTGTATTTTAAAATTTTTATTTTTAAGGCCATATAAATTAAATAATATTTTAAAAATAAGTTGAAAGATTAATTCATTGATAGAGTTTTTAATATTTTTACCTTAACAAATTTATATAGTAATTCTCGGGCTTGGAATTAACTTAGAAAATTTATTATATAAATTTTGCTATTTGTCATGTTTTCCCTCGAAGTATTATCTTATAAGTATAGTATTGCGCACTAAGAACCCAGGCTTTAAGAATATATTAATTATTTGTTTCTTAGCGATATATGAGTTGAGCCAATATTTATTGCCTGATTAGTACTTATTATTTATTCATCAATCAGTTTTGCGTTACTAAATAAATGCCTTAGTCTGCGTCTATATCGGAGTTTGAACCGCGATTTAGAAATCAATTACATCTATAGTATTTTTTGTTTTCATATTCATTTGTGTTAAGTAATTCAATCATTCATCCGATATTGGAATACTGGTGTTACATGATTGTAAATTTATATTTTAATGTTAAAGGCGTTATTTAATATTGTATTGTGACTTAATAATTGGATATTATATATATTCTATTTTTGAGTTTTAAGTTAATTGTTTAAATAGAAAATTAAATTCGATATATTATATTTTTCACACAAAAGAAGATGTACATTTTTTCTTAAATAAAATTATATACACATTTTTTCTTAAATAAAATTACATATATATTTTTCTTAAATAAAACTGGATATACAGTTTCCTTAAATAAAACGACATAAAATAATAAATAATCGTCTCACTATCAAAATCGTTCTCAGAATATTATCGACTCAAGCCCCAACGTTATTTCAAGTTTCCATTCTTGCAACAACCGGGAACTCAAACAAGTATCAAATCAATTATATTTTAAAATTTCTAACAATTTTGCCTAATTATTTATAAGTATATATATATATATATCTTATAATTATATAACATATTAGCCACTATTAAAGAATGAATTTTATCATATAACATTAATTTACTTTGAACCATCAAGTGATGAAAATCAAAGTATGGAGGATATTAAAGATGAAAATGAAGGTTGTATAATAGATAATCTGGGTAGTTATAATTAAAACTATTATAAACTGGAATACAATTATTTATTTACACAATATCCTTAATTCCCCCTTTCTTGGCGCTTATTTATAAATATCTTAAAATACAACACAAATCTTGTATAAAAATATTTATAAAATAAATATTCATTTGTTCTATTTACTTTACATCTGTTCAGACATTCGAAAATTAATGAAATGGGCTATAAATTAAGACCATACATAGTAATAAACCAAGTATGGTATGGAAGTTTTTGGCCAGCTCGCTTAAATTGATGATTCAATTCATTAACTTTGTTAAAGATATTTTATAAACATTTATAAATTTTTATGAAAATTTATATTCATAATTTGTTTCGTGTGCAAAAAGATGTTTACGCACAATACTGTTGGCAATAATATACAAACAAATTTACACTGTATACCATGTATGTTATCTAATCGGCGAGCCAGTTTTTTAAATATTCATCTGTTGCCGCCGGTATATAGATCTCGGCGTTATATATAATTTACATTTTAGTTTATGTTTTTCCAAAATAGAAATTTATTAAATATAAAAAAAACTTTATAACACGTTATGTTTACATAATTAAGAAAAATCATTTTAAAATATTTTAAATTAAAAAATACTCAAAAAATTCTGAAAAATTAAAATTTTTACTTAGCAAAATCATCTATGAATAGTTAAAAAAATCTGAGAAAATCAGTAAAAGTTCTAAGCTTTCAGTATTTTAGTCCTGAATAAGTAGGAAAAAATTCTAAACATTTCAGCTTCCTAAAATTTATTTTAATTGCATAAATCGCATTTTCTGCATTTTCAAAATTTATGTTAAAGGGGAAAGATATATTTATTGGGGTAAAAACTTAAAAAGCCCCTGCGTACTTACGACCATGAGTGGGATATATATTGGATATATGTTATTATTCTAATAAATGTATTCGCGATATATTCATTGTTTCTTAGCATTTCTCTCGCGTTGACTTCGTGCAAATACATTTTTAGTAAAAATAATCGCTAATTTTGCTACAATGTACACCAAAGTGTTCGCGGTTTCGGTTCCGTGGAACTAAATTTGGGGAATTAGTTTCATGCACCATCGCTCTAAAATTCCTTCAGGATAAACGATTCACGATCAAAGTTTATCTGTATTGATCTAATGCGAAAATAAATTAAACGACATAAATAATTAACAACTTAAAACGGAAGGCCAGTAACAAAACTTGTGAAAAATTATATAATGAAAACGATATTTCTAGAACTTTCCCGAGTTCTGGAATGCTCCGAAAATACTGATTTAGCAATTACATAATTATAAAAATATTTATAATGGTTTTAAAATACAGTTAATTATAAATTTAATCATCGTGTCCCCAAAAAGGAACAATTTGAACTTGGTTTCATTATTAAGCATTAATTTTTTTTAATTAAAATTTTAATTGAAATTGATTAATGATAATTATTTGAATAAATATCAGGTTAAAAAAATATAATGAGCTTGTTAATATTGAGGTAAATGAGAAGACATAATATTAATCAAAAATGGATGATTTTTGGGTGCCCATGAGGTTGTGCGATCAGGCTTCACACTATTTTTTGGTGATTAGTAGGCTCAAAATCAGGCTTCACACCATCCTTTGGGGATTAGTAGGCTCAAAATAATTACGTATGTAATAATCTGTTTTTCTGTTTAATTATTATCAAATACAAATTTATATTATATATTAACATCACACAGAGTTGGGCAGTACTGTGAATACTTGTATCTAATATACAAGTTCCTATTATATCTTAAACTTTGTATTTTTTTTGTCATATTTATATATCTGTATTTAGGATACTTTATTTTAAAAGAATCTTTTATCTTTTTCATTTCCTTGACAAAGGACACTGATACCTTTTAAAAACTCAATAACCACTTTTAACCATATTTTTCATGGTTTTTGTCTTGATAACCTAAATTTCTTGTCTATATTACGATTCTTCGTTTTGTTCAATAGTTTTATTTGTGATCATTAATGGAAGATCAGAAAATTATGGTTATTCTGTTTATAAAATTTGTGTATGCATTTAATTTAAATATTTTTTATACTAAATTTTACTTTATGCCCATCAGGTTTTAGGTTTAAAAAGCAAGAAAATATGCTTAAATTTTTGTGAGGAAAAAAATATGCAAAGAAAATTTTTAAATTTATTATAATAAATTTAAGTTTTTGCTATAATTTAAAATGGAATATAATCTTTTTGCAAAAAGTATAATTTGCAATTCATGTAAACCTTTTATATTTTTTCAAAAATATATAAATTATCACATATTAGTTTATGGGGGGAGGTCACCTTGATTTTATCATTCCTGGCAATGTGTCTGATATTATAGCAAATGTATTGCAGGTGAATTCTATAATTTATCAGATGTCATTGATACAAATATGTCAACCAGTGAATTATTACAAGGTTTCCCATTGTTTCATGCAGAAAGTCTTATTATGATAGCACAAAATATATAAACAACATTTTTTTTTTATTTTATCATTAAATTCAAAATAATATAAAACATATTTTTACTATACTTTCGAACAAATTCTCATTCAAAACAAACACTTATAAAAGAAAATCTTACAAAAAACTAATAATTTGTTCATTAAAAAATTCAAAATTAATTAATTTGGATAAAATTTTGACAATAGTATTGCATAAAAGTATATTATAAATAATTAAGATAATCTTAAAATTTAATTTATAGCTTAACAACTAATATTTAATCATATGAAAAAAATTTATACATTGTTATTTTAATAATTAACAAGTGCCATGGCTTAACAAAGATTTATATATTCCTTTACATGAGAAAATATCCTTCATAATCTTAAAGTGATATCTATTAAATAATATTTTTTATATAAATTAATGTATTTCTTTTAGTGTTTTCATATCATATAGAAAATAAAATTAGTTAATGTCATTCTTAACCTCCTTTATTAAAAAATATGATTCTATAATACTTTCCAAATTTTATAAGAAATCACATCTTACATAAAAAATACAAATATTTGAGTCCTTTTCTATTTGATTATTCTTTTGTATAAAAAAAAATCACAACTTTTTTTAAAATAAAAATTTATAGATATTCCTTAAAAAAAAAAATTATTACAATTATTTTATGTTTTTAAATATATTCTGCTGACTTTTAATGAAAAAATTAAAAGTTTAGTGTAAAACATTATTTATTTTATAAATGTTTGTTTTGAATGAGAATTTGTTCAAAAGAATGAAAAAAATAGGGGTATTGACATTTTTTATATGATATTCAAATAGAATGATAACAAACTATAAAAAATGTTTACATATTATGTGCTCTCATAATAAGAGTTTTCATGCAAAAACAAAATCCTATATATTAAAAGATAATCTGTTCCCAAAAGTTGCAATAGGTTAAGGATAATGGCTCCTATCTGTATCCCTGTTTCAAGTCATAAATGAAAAAAAGTTTTATAAATAAAACTAATCAAGTTATTTAAGATTGTCTAAGAGCTGGCTATTTTTGTCAATAATTTCTAGTGAAGATGCAATTTAAAAAAATATAAATAAGTAATTTAATTCTCCAAAAATTTTAAAGTGAGATCAAATTTTTGAAAATTATGAGAATGTATATTATATAATTACTTAAATAAAAAAAAAATGGAAATTAACACTTGTTTTTTTCATAGGTGTAGCATTTTAGTGTTTTTTTGTGTAGGGTGTTAGATTAATCACCTGATTTGAGAATTTTTAAAAATGATTAACTCAATATTTAAGAAAAAAATAGCCTAGGCCTTGAGATTTTGCTAATAAGTGTCCCAACCTTTGCGTCATCTAAAAGCAAAATCTTCAGACTTGTGTAATATTTTTCTTGGGTAAAATATTGAATAAGCCGTTTTAAAATTAGCTCAAATTAAGCTTTTTAACAACATTAATCTCTGTCATCTAGATGACATATAACAATAATCAACTGCTAATTATAAACCTTAATTACCAGATATTACTCAGTACATATAATTAATATTATAGAATGTTTAATAATTACCCAAAATTTTATAATTTTTAATTTTTGTGAGAGTTTGATTGTTAATTTCAATTATTTTTATCCCAAATAAGGCATCCCATAATATTATATTGTTATCAATATCTACTGATAAACAAATCATTGCATTGCTTGAAATTTGTTTATGTTTTGTAGATGAATCCATATCTCTTTTTATAGGTCCCCATTTAACCTAGCAATTATATTTAATATATTTATATCATAATATTAAATTAACCATTGCAACTAATTCATTGCATTTTAACACTTGTACAACCTGTAAGTAATTTAGTTTATGTATTATTAGATAAATCAAAATTTTACATTTTGTAAGTTAACGTCAAAAATTATAATTAAATTGAGGGAAGTGTATGCCAATAAGTCATTTTGTCCCCTAAATAATATCTATATAAAACTTCATAAACCATTAAAACCAATCAAGTGTTTGATTTGAAAAATTAAAAGATCCAGGTAAGAAAACCGATTTATATTCCATTGGGTAGATCGGTGCAGCTAAACTAGGAATTGACTGGTAAACTGAGAATAGAGAGGTAAGCTGAGAATTGACAGGTAAATTTTATGTTTATTTTATAACAATCACTTTTATTTTAAAAATATAAATAAAATGTATTTATTATATAAATCTAAAAGAAAGTGTTTTAATTTAAGAAACTATTTAAATTAATTCTTTTTTAAAATCAAAATTTATTATCATTTCTTTATATCTAAAAACATAGTATATATATAAAAAAAGTTAATTTAAACATATTAAACAATCAACGTTAATATATTTTAATAATAAACAATATTCAAAGAAAACTAAAATTAACTATTCAAATTTAAATTTATTTAAATATATAATCAATCAACAAAATCAAATTTATCCAAAATTAAAATTATCTAAATAGATAAAATAGAATATATAAGAAAATGTAGTCCATAAATTTATAATATGTTAGAACAGATATATTACATAGAAAATATAACACCCATAATAAATTTTACAAACCATAAATATATTTCTGTTAGATGCGTGTCGTAATAGATCATTTACATAGTGTTTAAACAACAAACTTAAATAATCTTGAAATCATTTTAATACATTTTTCCAGGGGCGTCGCTAGCCTTCACAATCTAAGGGGGCTCAACTAAAGAAATATTTATTGGGGGGGGGGGGGGGGTATTAATTTATGGAAGGCATTGCAAACAAGGTACGAGTAAAACAAACTTTTATTGAAAAATTTATATATCTCTTTTTTACAAAAATATATTACACTTTATATACATTTTCAGTAATCAGTTTTTGTAACTATTCTCAAAATAAAATGATATAAAAATAAGGTTTTTAGTATGTTAAATAAGAAAAGACAATTTTAAAAAGGTATTTTGAATATCATATAATATAAAAACCTTCAAAAAATATAAATATAATATGACATGTAAATTAGTCATATTCAACATCTCCCCCTTTTTCTAAGTGACTCTTCCTCCATTTGTCATTTCTTCATAGCTCCATTATTCATTTGTCGATCTGGCTCGAATTAGTTTGTACCTTGTATCATCGCTCGTCCAACATCGTTTGTTGATCCGTTGTTTGCATTTGACCTTTCCATTTAGCTTTAAAAAATTTTTATACATATTTTATTAAAATCTTTCATTTATTTTTAATCATTTTTTTAGATCGTAAGTCATATTTCCTGTTTTGAACTTGAATTTTTGTTTGACTTTGACTTTCTTCACCTCTTCCCCCTCTAAAAATCCGTGTAGTATTATCGTTTGTTATTGCGTTTGTTATTCTTTTCTTTATTTGATCAAGATGTCTCCTAATAATGTTGTATCCATTATCTATTCTATATGTCAAGTTTCCTTCCTTTTGTACTACTACTCCTTTATCCCAAATATTTTCTTTAAACGTCTTGTACCAAATCTTGTCTCTTATTTCTATTTCTCTATTCTTTGATATTTTTCTTCTTAATATATTCTCGTTATCCTCCAAAAGTTTGATTAAGTCCCATTTAGTCCTGATCGTTCTTGAAAACATTACTTTACTGGGTATCATATTCGTTGTATCATTCGGCGTATTTCTATAATTAAACAAAAATTTCTCTAAAGCTACGTCCAAGTCTATGTTCGTGTTGTTTTCCATATTTCTTTTAAGACTCATTTTCATAGTTTTTATCATCCGTTCACATTGACCATTAGTATGTGTTTTATGCCATGATCTTCACAAAACTTTTTAAATAATTGACTAGTAAAATTCGTACCATTATCCGTCACGATTTTGTGTGGTATTCCAAATAAGCTTATAATTTTCATCAATTCTTTTAAAGTTGATTCCGTCGTAATGTTTTTCATTCGTTTTATGATTGGAAATTTGCAATACGCATCAACAAATACCATAAAATTGTTGTTTTCAAATTGTGCAAAATCTATATGTACACGTTCAAAAATCTTTGTTGGTTGTTCCCATGGATTTTGTATATTGTGAGGGTTATCCGAATATCTGTTACATGAGTCACAATTTTTTATCTCTAGATCTATCTCCGTGTTTATACCAGGTAACCACAAATAATCTCTCGCTAACATTTTCGTTTTACCTGCACCTAGATGTCCTTTATGTAGTTCGCGTAAAATCTCTTTTCTCATGTTCAGCGGTATTATTATTCTGTTTTCTTTAAATAGATAATGTTTTATCAAACTCAATTCCATTTCCATGTTTCTGTATGTTTTGTTTTTTATTGGTTCATTATTTCTAATATTATCAATTATTTCCATTAGTTCTTTATCATTCTTTGTTTCTTTAACTAATTGATTGAAGTTTATTGGTATGTCCCATAATTTATCATCAACTTTTTCAACTACAATATTCTTTATTTTCCTGTGGTAATCTCGACAAACAATCTGGCACTAAATTTCTTTTCCCCGGTCTATGTATTATCGTATAGTCATATGCTCCCATTGCCAAGTTCCATTTTTGTAAAGGCATCGATATTGTAGTGTTTTCTCTGAGTGTCTTTGAAATAATGTATATTAGAGGCTTGTGGTTGGTTATTATTATAAATTTGGTCCCAATTAAATATTCCTGAAATTTTTTTACCGCAAATATTATAGACAATGCTTCTCTCTCGATATTTGTATGATTTGTTTCAGCTTTTAAAAGTTCTTGATGCGAATGCAATAGGTTTTTCTTTACCATCTCCTTCGATGTGAAATAAAACTGCTCCTAGTCCTTTTTTCGACGCGTCAGTCGCAATTCCAATTGGTAGATCATGGTTGTAAAAATTTAAAGTTGGCGGACTACTAATCAACGCTTTCAAATCCTCAAAACTTTTCTGGTGCACATCTTTCCATATCCATTTTTTCTTGTTAACCATTTTATATAGAGGATCAGCTATTGCACAGAAATTTTCTGTAATAACTGGCCATGCCTAAAAATGTCGCTAGTTCTTCTTTTGTTGTCGGTTTTGGCATGTTTGTTATGGCATCTATCTTATTTTCGTTCGGGTGAATTCCGGTTTCATCTATATCGTGTCCTAAAAATCTTGTCTCTTTCTTCAAAAACACTTTTTTCGAAATTTTGTGTAAGCCCATATTTTGTTATTCTATCGAAGACTTTTTTATGTTATTAATATGTATTTCATCATTATCACCCGTTATCAGTAAGTCATCTATGTAGAATATCACGTCCTTCATATCCCCAAATATTCGATCCATGGTACTTTGAAATATAGCAGATGAAGTTTTTAAACCAAAAGGTAGTCTTGTAAATTGATAATACCCTTTTTGTGTTGAAATGGTCAAAATATTTCTGCTGCTCTTGTCGATCGGAATTTGCAAGAAGGCCTCTTTAAAATCTATCTTGGTGAATTTTTTTCCTTTTGATAATTTTTATATTAGATCCTTTATCCGTGATATCGGGTACTTGAAGTCCTCCAAAGCAGGATTTACCGTGCTTGAAATCCGCGCATAGCCTGAGTGATACATCACTTTTGTAAACAGGAGTAAGTGGACTTGCCCAGCGTACTTCCTCTATAGGTTCTATAATCTTGTCGTCAATCCATTTCTGTAACTCTTTTGTTATTAAATCAATTCTTTTGTATGGAATACGTCTTGGTGGTATAATCTTCGGTGTGGTGTTTTCTTTTAGGTATAACTAGACGTTGCTTCTACACATCGGTTTTTTGTTAATTTTTAACTTGCATTCTTTTATCAAATTTTCTATCGTGTCATTATGATTCTCTTCGACATGATTTACAAATTTATCCAGTATATTTCCAAAAACTCTTATCCATGTCCTTCCTAGAAGCGCAATCTTGTCGCTTTGGACTACAAAAGCATCTAAGTTTTGAGTTTTGTCTTCATATCTCACTTTTATTTTAACGATTCCTAGCACCTCTATTTTTCTCCCATCATAGCCAGTCAGTTTCGTATCCGATTTATTCAAGACTTTGATTCCTATCTTTCTAGCAATATTAATCGGCAATATCGAAAATCGTGACACGGTATCTATCTACATATCTACCGGTATATCGTTCAGGTATATCGTAACTTTGTAAGCATCATTTGCTTTATTGTCCTCGTCCAAGTTCTTTGCACCAAATTAAATAAATTTCTTTTTTGATTATTTTATCATCATTATCTTCTTTTATCTCCTCTATATCGACAGTGTTTACGTTGTTAGAATATCTGAATTGATTATTATTATTGTTTTGATTTCTATTATTATATGATTGGTTGTAACTTTGATTATTGTTATATCGAGGTGTGTATCGTGATTCATTTTGTTGTCTGTTAAATCTATTATTATAATCACTATAGTATCGATTACCATTATTATCATTATTATTTCTGTTATTTAATCTCGAATTAAAGTTGTTTCGATATCTATAGTTGTTTTGGTATCGCGGGTTGAAATTTTGTTGTCTTGGGTAGTAATTGTTTTGATATCTCGGGTTGTACTTGTTCCCTTGATAGTTATTCCCTTGATAAATGTTCCCTTGATAAATGTTCCCTTGATAGTTATTCCCTTGATAGTTGTTCCCTTGATAGTTGTTCCCTTGATAGTTGTTCCCTTGATAGTTGTTCCCTTGATAGTTGTTCCCTTGATAGTTGTTTCCTTGATAGTTGTTCCCTTGATAGTTGTTCCCTTGATAGTTGTTCCCTTGATAGTTGTTACATCTTGGTGTCCATTGATATCTATTTGTATAATTCATTTGTGTGATTGACCCTTTGTTATGATCGTCATACTTTACCATACGCCTATCCATTTTATCATCTCTACGTCCTTCTATTTGTTTGATAGCTACATTATCGTTTTCTATTTTTATATTTTCTACTTTATCAATTATATTTACGACAGTCTCTTGTTCCTCAAATTCCATTCCTAATTTTAATATCTCTGGTATTGTTATCCCTTCTGCCCTTGCAATTTTTTGTCGTAATTCTTTGTTAATGGACGACACTCTTATTTTTTCTATTGCCCTATCAAAATTAGCATATTTACATTTATTGTTTAATCTACATATTTTGCTTACCCATTGTCCGAACGTTTCACCTTTTACTTGTTCGGCTGCATTAAATTTTTTTATATATGAATCCACCGATTTCTATGGATGT